ACAATGCAGGTGCAGAACATCATCACAGGTTGTTCTACTGGGCAGTGCTGCTCTGGGAGGACATATGAGTAACTGATAAATGGTCTCCGAAAGGGGAGTAGGAAAGCTGGGGAGGAGCATGGGAGGAGAATGTGTTTTTTATGTATAATATTTTGTAGTACTTTAATTTTCTGGTCACATATTTTGCTTCATATTTAAAAAGAAAAAAAATTAAATTTTAAACATGTTTTAAACACATAAATGATAAACCCAAGGGACACAGGTGAATCCCAGGTATCTCTAGCCTGGGGATCACCTGCTGAAGGATGGGTGTGGCCCTCTTTCTGGGCAGGAGCATAGGAAAGAACAGTGACAGGATAGCCCACAGGTACCGCCCCACATGTGACTCACACTCCCCAGTGCTGGAAGCTCCTTCTGTCCCCCACATTTCCATCCTCTCAACAATCTTATGAGGCCCTCAGGGTGATTATTGTTCCCATTTGTTTTCATTTCCTAGGGCTGCTGCAGCAACACATTACCACATATTAGATACCAAAAAAATACAGAAATTTTTGTCTCATGATTCTGGAGGCCAGAAGTTCCGGGTGTTGACAGAATTGGTTCTGTCTTCCATACCTGTCTCATTACTGATGGCTACTGGCAATCCCATGTCCCGTGGCTTGTAGGACATAGTTATATGGCTTCTACTGTGTGGCTGTGTCTCAAATCTCCCCCTCTCTTCTCTCCTGAGGGCATCAGTCATTGGATTCAAGGCCCACCCTAAATCCTGAATGATCTTGAGATTATAGGGCCCTGAATTATAGTTGTCCCCCTTATCCACAATTTCACTTTTAGATTTCAGCTGCCTACTATCAACTAAGGCCCAAAGACATTAAATGAAAAAAAAAACTACAGAAGTAAACGATTCATAAGTTTAAAATTGCACACCACTCTGAGTTGGATGATGAAGTCTCCTGCCACCTGCTCCTTCCCAAATGGATATGAATCGCCCCTTACCCAGCATATCCAGGCTGTATATGCTACCTGCCCTTTGGTCACTAAGTGGCTGTCCAGGTTATCACATCAACTTCGTGAACTTGAAGTTAAAGTGCTTGTGTTCAAGTAACCCTTATTCTATTAATAATGGCCCTAAAGCACAAGAATAGAAATGTTGGAAATTCAGATCTGCTAAAAAAAAAAAAAAAAAAAAAAAAAAGCTAAACAGTGCTTCCTTTAAATAAAAGAAAATAAGATATTCTGAGAGACACATCCACATAACTTCTATTGTAGTATATTGTTATACTGTGAATTTTATTATTAGTTATTGTTAATCTCTCACTGTGCCTAATTTATAAATTAAACTTTATCATAGCTATATATGTATAGGAAAAAACATAGTATATTGAGGGCTCAGTACTATCCCTGGTTTTGGGCATCTTGATTCCCATCTTGGGAATCTTGAAGTGGATCCTCTATGGATAAGGTGGGACTACTGTACATCTGCAAAGACCCTATTTCCAAATAAGGTCACATTCACATGTATTGGGGGCTAGGACTTGGATAAATCATTTAGATGGAAATGACTCAACCCACCATTTTACAGACAAAGGGTGCAAGGCTCAAAGGGCCCTTCACTGAACTGAGGTCACAGAGCTGGTTCAGGGCAGAGGCCTGCCAATCCTTCCATCATGGACTTGGGCAAGAGGGACGCACATCTTCCTGCTTGAAGCCCGCCACTCCTTCAGTCTTGTACAGCTGGCTTCACAATGGGCGACATACACAAAGGAACTGGCCTCTTCTCTGGCCTCCTTATCTGCCTGCCGCCTGCTAGGATCTAACAAAAGATTACACTGTCTCCTTGGACCGTGGGAAGGAACTGGGCCAGGGGATCTGTGGGTATCTCAGATCAGACAGGGATCGGAACTACAGAGGGTGGTCTGCATCTCCAGACTCTGAAGACTATGGGGCTTTTTGATCAAAGCCAGAAAGAAAGGGAGAGAGTTCAGAATTCTGGTGTTATAGAGAAAGGCCTCTGTCCTTTTCCTGATCAGGGGAGCCTGTGGCAGCCTCCTGGGGTTTGTGTTGATGAAGAACTCTGGTCCCCAAGCCAGAGGTGGCAGGAGAGACAGAATGTACATGGGAAGATGAGGACCCTGCTGAGATCACTGTGCTGCATCCCCAGGGCCACCCTGACCACACAGGCCAGGACAGCTGAATTGCAGCCAGGAGACCCTGGGACAACGACAGCACAAGCTCACCACAGGTAGGGCCTCCCTGGAAGGCAGGGAGAACATGTGCCCCACTCTCCGCTGGCCTAGAGGTTTTGCCCTAGTGCCGATCATTATCCCCAAAGATACAACCCTGGAATGCCTTCATTCCAAATGTTGAAATTCTCAAAGAACAAAATCCTAAAAGTCTAAAAATCCTTAAAGCTCAAAATACCTGAAGATCATAATCCCAAAAGATTGAAATCCCAAATGTTGAAATCCTAGAAGCCATAATTCTGAAAACCACAATTCCCAGGGATGAGCGTAGGGGCTCTATGAGGGGTAAGAAGACAAATTTAGTAGAATTAGTGGTTTTGGGTTGTATGCAGGTTAGCGGCCAAAGTTTTCATTCATGTCTTACTTCTGCCCCTTCACATACAGTGCCATGCTGTATGCCCTCTGTGGGAGAATATAAACAATTTGACAAACTCAGCCACCTTCTGATATAGTCTCTCTAGTGTTAGAAAACACATTAAATGGTGAACTCCTCTTGGTTAGGAATCTGACTATACAAGAAGAAAGTCTTGGGGCTGTGGTTGTGGCTCAGCACTTGCCTAGCATTTGTGAGATACTGGGTTCGATTCTCAGCACCACATATAAGCAAATAAATAAATAAATGTCCATCAATAACTAATAAAAATATTTTTTTTAAAGAAAGAAGAAAGTCTTCTCCTATTTACCACTAAATCCATAAAGTATTCTCCTATTTACCACTGAATCCATAGAAGAATTAATGCATGTTTCACTTTGGCTAGTGGACGGTGCTTTCAAAACTGTTCAAACATCTCACTAGTTCTTCACCCCCATGAGCTTCCCATTTTATATATTTTGCAGACTACCCAAAACTTCATTTGTGGATTTGAATGTGTTTCCTCATTTAATTGTGATTTGTGACTTCTTAATGTTCTAATGTGTCTTTGTGATGTCTTTTTTCCCCTCCTATTAAAATCTCAGATTCCCCAGTCACTGAGCTGCCACTGGGGGACTCAGTAGTCTCTCCCTTCTAGAAGCTCCAATCTTTGACCCCTTTGCTGATGCATGTAAGGGTGATGAATGGCTTCCTGCTGGCTCTGAGGATTACATCCATATAAGAATTCAATGGAGAAATGGCAGGAAGACCCTTACTACTGCCCAAGGAATTCCTGATGATTATGATAAAAAAAAAAAACTAGTGAAGCCTTTAAAAAAAAAATTTATAGCTGTAGATGGACAGAATTTTTTTTTTTTTTTTTGGTATATGGTGCTAAGGTTCGAACCCAGTGCCTCGCACATGCTAGGCAAGTGCTGTGCCACTGAGCTACAGCTACAGCCCACTAGTGAAGCCTTTTAAGAAGAAATTTGCCACATGGAACAGTAATTCAGCTGCCTGGTGACCAGAGCAAGAACATATGCCAGTTCCTGGTGGAGACTGGACTGGTTAAGGATAATTAGTGGGAAATTCATGGGTTTTAAGTGCTTGTGGCTCACTGAAGCTTAAGTGAGGATTTCCTTGCAGTGAATAGAATTTCCCTTCTGTCCCTTGTCACAAGTTTAAAAGCCTCACAGCTTTTCACTTGGACTAATGTTAACTCCTTCATACAATAAGTTGAAAAGAGCCAAAATATATATATATATATATATATATATTTTTTTTTTTTTTTTTTTTTTTTTTTT